TAACAACAACGAATTAAATTATGAATTTGTTTTTTTTTCAATATCGTTTGCAGCAGAGTGGTTTGTTGATTAGGAGCACTCGATACGAAATCTGCTGGTTGTGGGATCGAATCCCATCACCGAACATTCTCACCCCTTCAGCCGTGGGAATATTATAATGTGAAGGCCAACTCCACTATTCGTTAGTGAAGAGTTGGTGGTAGGTGGCACTGACTAGCTGCTTTCACTCAAGTCCGTTAATTTAAAAATAGGAGCACCTAGCGCAAAAAAAAACAAAAAACCTCGAGTGGCTTGGCACAAAATCCAACAAACAAAAGTTGCAGGCTACGTTCACTTGTAGGCCCACCTCTGCAAACGACATTTCAACAGAAACTCAAATACTTTTGCATGCATAACTCGCAAATAAACTTGCTTGCAGATCTTCCCATCGCTAATAGATCGATAACAAACACGCTAACTCACTGACCAATTGAATCGCAAGCCAACAGACGTAATCACTACCAGGCACTGAACTGTTAAACTCATGAACTAATTATTACACTGATATTACACTGAATACTTCACCGAGTCTGGTATTTATATTGTACTACAAAGAACCTGCAAAAGCTTTAACTTTCATGAAATTTCTAGTTATATTGCATCATCATTACATAATTACACGCCCCCTCTAGCAAACAAACATCAAAATGTCACTTACAACTGTATTGTAGTCGTGTCATGCTCGAGTATCACGTAATAGAATTTCTTTTGTGCCTTAGAGTATTTTACAACCGATAATATTGTTGCGTCAGCGAGGTCACGTGACTAGTATCACGCCACGTCCTTCTAGAAATATCCAGTTCCTTCATGAATGCTCTAGCGTTTACTAGATATGTGTTAGTCTTGTATATATAAGACCGTCACAACGTGATGGAACAGTGTATGTGTAATTGAACTGAGTATTGTTGAAGTCGTGAGACGTTCGTTGAGAATTATATCGTTTGTTATAGAGCGACTGTTGAAATTAAGTGTATCGGTAAAGTTGTATTCGGAAAGAATAAACCAGTTTTATTTAAGAAAGGACTTGTGTCGCTAAAGTTTTGTCGGAACGAATTGGCGGAAAATTAATTAACGAACGGA